GTATTGAACGCTGCCAGTTTCAGATCATGTACATCCACTCTCTTCCTTTCTTCGATTATTTCGTTGCTGGAGCCAGCAAGGTAATTTCGGATTTTTTCACCGTAATTATCGAAAGCAATCTTGAAATCTAACTTTATTTGCGATATTACTTCATCCACATATTGTTTGTTTGCAACATCAGCGACATCTGTTGGCAGTTTTACGTTACACATCTTCAAATGACCAACATCAATATCACCGGTTGGAGTATGTGAAAATCCAGATCTGACTGTCACCATCTGAGCTGAACGTGGAAAGGAACCACGTCCGAATTTGTCGAGACTCATTATGCTAATGACTAAAGTATTGTACGTTATCGATAATGGTCGACACTTTGCCTCGCCAATTATTAGCCCCTTCACTCATAGACATGCCATGGACGTGTCACGGAACTGTCACAGAAGTGTCAAGGAAGTGTAAGGGAAGTTCACGGAAGTGACAAGGAAGTGTCACGGAACTGTCACGGAACTGTCACGGAACTGTCATGGAAGTGTCAAGGAAGTGTCACGGAACTGTCACGGAAGTTGTCATGGAAATGTCAAACATGTTTTATTATGCCTGCCTCTTCTAATTCGTTCAAGATGGCAACAATCTCGTTATCGTTTGATGTATTTCCGGCTTGCTGTGATGCAATGAGCAACTTCAATCTATCTACCAATTCGTTTGGATCATCCCAATACATGTATTCGATAGGTGCTGTGTTGTATGTCAACTTCAAACCACGACCACTGGAATTGGATCTGAACATTGGACGAATAATTTCTACGTATTTGAGTCTAGAGGAAGACTCCATACGTCCTGCAGAATTCAGATGAGCTTTGGTGAGCAAGAGTATTTGCTTGTATGGGTTCGTATCATCTTTGGCAAAGGATGGATCATTATAGAAGAGTAATTGATAGAGGCCTGGGGTGCCACGGAACCGAAAGCCATCAAGAAGTATATCTCCAGTTCTTCGATGGAAATTCATTTCTTTTCCGTTGAGGGACCATTTCGATGTTACTGGATCATATTTGGGGCCATAAACCGTATCGATATTTTCATCATTTGTCCAGTATTCAGTCAGATATTTTTGAGCCATCGCAGGATACTGGTCAACGTGATCATGTATTGCAGCCGGTGAGATATTTTCACTCTCTACAAAAAGTTCATCATCAGCATCGTCATAACCATCCTCATCATCATCTTCAGTATGCTCAGCATTATCAGCCACATCCATCATAGGTATGAAATTAGTTTGGATCAAATCCGATTGCTCCCTCTCCATCTCCCTATCCTCTTCCTCCTTCTTCTCCTTCTTCAACCCCAACGATTTTGCTCTGCTTCGCTTGATGTTTGAAAGCGTTCCATCGAGTTTTTCTTTTATTACCTTGGACGTGGTGGCAATTTGTTTCAAAGGTGATGTCAGTGGTTGGAATATTTTCTGTAACGCATCATCATCCTCAGACTTGCCCAATTTTAGTGCTAAATATTTTCTTCTGATTGATTTCGATAGTTCATTGATTTTTTTCTTGCGCAGCGCATCAGCAACATCATCATGCATCTTGGTTGACGTCATCTTGATGAATGGTCCAGAGATCACAGTCTTATGAACTTATCGGAACCATTTCTATATCTGCCAGCATTCATATCGAAAGTTTTTGCAATCACCATCGCACCATATTGGTTAGAATTCCAACACTCTGAGCACAATGCTTTGAATTGATCGAATGACATGTCTGGTGAGACATGCTCGTCGAACACATGCTTCAAATTCATTTCATCCTGTCGAAATAACACCAACAGGTTACTGTTGTCTCGCACCAGCTGCTTCGGTATCTTAGAAAAAGTCTGGCATAGGTATGCTACGTCAATATCCTTGTGTCTACACATTGAAAAATATTCTCGAATTTTTTGCTGCTTGTCGCATGATACATCATCAAAAATGAATATCGAATTATTTTTCGCTTCTGATGGACTGATGACATCATCATTTTCTTTAAAGGGAAAATACCCAACACCTTTCACTGAATCCAACACTTGTTGCAGCAATTGATATTTCGGTTCGTACAACGACTTTGAATACACGTAAACGTTCTTGAATTTCGCGCCATTTGGATTGAACAGCAGGGAAAGCATCGCATTGGTTATTCCACATCCGCTTGGTCCGCAGAAGATTGCTCTGAACGAATGGGGAAGCAGTTTCCCATGTTTACTATTTACTGGGGGTTTGGTTGACAAAATTCCATCCAAATTCACAATGGGCAACATCCGTTCTTGTTGAATGATCTTCATCATGTGATGATATATTTTTCATTTCATTAGGTATATGCAGAGTTGTCGAACTTCCTACACATCAGTCTTCATGTTGCTCTACCACGGAGAGGGTGTGCTTAATTCTCTGATCGATAAACTTCCCATCGAATTACACATTCCAGGCTACAGATTTTGTGGTCCAGGTACCAAACTCGATAAAAGACTTGCAAGAGGAGACACCGGTATCAATCCGTTAGACGACGCGTGTCGAGGACACGATATCGTCTATTCACAAAATTCCTCAATAGAAGACAGGCACAAAGCTGATTGGATATTGGAAAATAGAGCGTGGGAGAGAGTCAAGTCGAAGAACGCTAAATTCAAAGAGAAGGCTGCTGCTTGGCTTGTCACCACCGGAATGAAGGTCAAACGAAAACTTGGCATGGGTCTTGTATCACAGCAATCCCTATCCAACATTATCAAATTCATAAAAAATGTACTATCAAAGTCAGATGGTGGTGGTGGTGGTAGTACAACATCAGGAAGTGGTCTGAATAAATCTGCATTGAAAGCACTCCATGCAGCCAGAATGGCAATCAAGAGGGCTGGCGGTAAAAAAAGAATCAGAGTATCAAGAATCATACCTCTTCCACACAGTGGCGGTATACTACCATTGATACCAATCTTTGCCGCCTTGGGGGCCCTAGGATCTCTAGCTGGAGGAGCCGGAGCAGTCGCAAAGACAGTCATTGATGTGAAAAATGCAAAGAAAAAGCTCGAAGAAGATCAAAGGCATAATAGAGCAATGGAGGCTATCGGCAAGCAGGATTCCGGCCTATTTCTACGCAAAACATCGAGAGGATTCGGACTGTACTTGAAGAAACAATCAAAAAACTCAAAAAACTTCTAGACAAGCTACCCAATAAATCAATGTACGATGAAGATGTGATAAACTATGCCAAACAGCTGAAAATACCATATTTTCGAGGTGTTTTTATGCGGGAAACTCTACCTTCCACCGGTCCATGGCATCGCGAGTGTGCTGTATCGAATTTGGATACCGCCAATCATGCGGGCACTCATTGGGTGGCTTACATAAAAAATGATAAAAAAAACTCATATTTCGATAGTTATGGCAATCTGAAACCGCCCAGAGAATTGGCTCAATATTTGGGTACCGGCACGAAAATCATGTACAATAATGAGCAATACCAAAATTTCAATCAAAGTAATTGTGGACGTCTATGTTTAGAATTCCTTTTTAATGACACCAAGTAACTCGATCATTGTGCATCAGTCATGTCTCTGATTGTGACGTTGAAAGGTCGTACATCTACGCTCTCCATAGACTTTTTGACACCACTTCAACTCGATCCAGACTCTGATTACGGACTAGCATTATTGGGATTCCATTCATACAACAGTATACCAAATATCGACAAAGGATCAAAGTTTTATCTGCAAGATAAGACCAAGGCGGGAAAGATCATCGATATTCCCGAAGGTTCATACGACATTGTGGACATTGAGACATTCATACGCAATGAATTGGGCATCTCAAGTGCAAAGGACGTTGATGATATATTCTCGTTGAAGCCCAACAATAATACACTAAAGTGTGAGATTTCGAGCCAAAGGTTTGCCATCGATTTTCGTCCAAAGGATAGCATAGCTCAAGTCTTGGGATTTTCAAATAGATTGTTGAACGCCCAACAAGTCCACACTTCCGATTTGCCGGTCAGCATAACCAAAGTGAGAACCATTCACATTGATAGCAACGTTACTGCTGGAGCTCTCTACAACGACAGACCATCACATACGATCTACGAGTTTGCAGTTGCAGTCGATCCTGGTTACGCCATAGACGAGACTCCCAGAAATCTAATCTATCTACCTATAGTCAGCAGGCGGGAATTGCCCAATATTACACTCCAGATTCTAGACCAAGATTTCAGGCAGGTGAATTTTAGAGGTGAAGAAATCATCATAAGATTGGAATTGAAGAAACTCGCAAGATGGTACTAGTGTTTGATTACTCCTATAAATTAGATAATATACCATCATCAGCAACATTATCGGCACCAGTTCTCTCGACACCGTACACCAAAGCAGTCGTGTCTTCGAAGAGCAGCAGCAGCAGCAACAGAAAAACATTGACATTATCCAGTGTCCTGTTTCTGAAATCATTCAAAGACAACAATGTTGTTAGCACCCGTGTTCGACGTTTTCCGCAAACCCAGACTCGACGAAAGCATCACTAAAGTGGAATGGCGTACCTATTATCCATATGTGAAATCATTCGAGAACAATGATGTCATCGATATAACGGTTAATCAAGCAAATTCGTGGTTGGCCATGTTTGAAGGCATCATTACCATCAAGGGTAAATTGAAGGTGACCGGTGGTGGTACTGGTACATCAACCCACAATGCTGGAGCCTATCTCTTTGATTCCTGCACCTATGAATTATGTAATAAAGAATTGGACACTGTCAGATATCCTGGAATAACGAGTACTGTGCGAGGATACTTGTGTTATACACCTGAAGACTCACGTCATCTAGCCATAGCAGGCTGGAACTATCCCAATGCTCCGATCCTCAACACCGATGGCACGTTTAGCATGAACATTCCACTGAAACATTTGTTTTCCATCTTCAATGATCATCAAGTGGCAACGTGGGGCAAGCAGTCAATCCGTTTAGTGAGAGCTCGCAATGATGCCAATAGTGTGAAGGTTGTCGAGAGAGCGAATACTGCTTTGCAAGGATATCCTCAGACTCAGAGTATTGCTAAAATAACGATAGAAAGCATCAATTTGAAAGTGCCACATCTCACACCCAACGATGACATAAAGTTGCAGTTGTTGACACGTATCAAAGCAGATGAGTCTATGATGATACCGTTTCGCCGATGGGAATTGCACGAGCTACCAGCACTCACACAAGGATCTACCATAGAAATCTGGTCCGTAAAGACATGTTCTGCATTGGACAGTCCAAGATATGTTATAGTATTTTTCCAAACGAAAAAAGCCGATAATTTGCATGAAGACGTCACCTTGTTCGATAATGCCAACATCAAATCCATACGATTGGCTCTGAATAGCGACTATTATCCGCAAGAACGAATGCTATTGGACTTTTCCCGAGACCAATATGCCGACGCCCACTTCAACTATACAGAGTTCAACAAGAGCTACCATAACTGTCAAGGAAAGCGCTCTCTAGTAAACTTTGCCGAATTCAAATCCCGACCAATGTTTGTTATCAATTGCTCGAGGCGCCATCTGGGTCTAAAGTCGTCCACAGTTGACATAAAGTTGGACATTGAAGCGACTACAGGCTTCCCTCCCGACACCAAAGCCTATTGCATCATCATTCACGATCAAATCATGGAACATCTCCCACTCAGCGAAATTGTTCGAAATATTGCCTAGGTGGGTGTTGCGGCATCAGTCAGACGTCAGTTTGCTTCGAAGAGTCATGGAGATCGCACTGGTTGACATTCAAGGGTTCATGGTTGATGGTGAATTCATTCCAAAGGAAATGACCATTCGCATTGGCAAAAAGACGAGTCATTTTCTATTCAAGCCATCTGTAGAATTTTCGAGTTTAAGCAGAGAAGATAAAAAGATGGCAAATCATGTGGAGCGTTACGTTCATGGTTTAAAATATTCCAGTGGTTATGTGGATTTGAATGAGTTGGATCAAATACTACGAGATAACCTGCAGCAGACAAACATCATCTACGTAAGAGGCCATCAAAAGATTCAGTTTTTGCAGCGAAAATGTGCAGAGTTGGAGATGGCCAGTCACATTGTTAATTTGGAAGATTTCGACAATTCTTGGTGGCAGCCAATAACGTTCCTACAATCCATTCCACCCTGCATGAATCATTTCCATGGAGGAAGGTTCCAGTGCAGTCTCCACAATGTCGATACTTTATATAATTGGTTATGTAATTTATTGCCAAAATAAAAAAACTTTATAATAATTTCAGAGTTTTTATTCATCACATCCCTTATTTCTCAGTATAATGAAAATAACATGTGAGATTAAAATGAGTGAACATATTAGTGTACAACAAAGTGTCAAAATTGCAATGATATTGACAGAATCTTGATCATCATCTAATTTTGCGGGTGATTTCTCCAATGTAAATGTCTGCCAGTCTCCCATTTCGCCGTCACTGCCATCAGAAAACGATAATTTCAATTTGTAGTCGATGGTGGCCCCATTGACTCGAGGCATGTCGATTGAATATACAGGTAGTTTGTTATCGTTGACATACATTCTACTCATCAGCTTCCAATCACACTGTTGTGTACGATTCACATCAAAACATACGGCTGCATTCCTCGTATTGTACGGTATGTTTGTGTAGAAGACGTTGTTGCTCAGAGCTGTCAATAGAATGAAGCTTGCTTTCAGTATCGCCATCTAGTAGCTGTGTTTTTTGGATTCTTCTCGATGTAGGAAACGTTGCAACTGAACGTCTTGGTTCTGTGAACACCTTGTCCCAAACACTCAATTGCTCGAAATCTTTGAACAAACAAACTTTCTGCTCATACAATTGGATGTCTGCACTGAGCTTTCTAACTTTCAACCCAAATTCTTCTAGTGCACGTCTGTATTCGTCAGAAGACATGATACAACTGTTTTTTACATCCATACCTTCAACTAATATCCATCCAATCTCTCTCTCTTTCTCTTTCTCTCTCTCTCTCTCTCTCTCTCTCTCTCTTCTTCTCACTTTTTCACCCTCTCACTCTCTCTTACACTCACTACCCATCCCAATGATACACAGAAAATTTCAATGATTATTTTATTAATGATAGATAGACAGCATATTTTATATTTACATTAATAGCCAGGACAAGTATTACATTTTCATAAGAAAAAACATATTCTGAAAAAAAAAGGCATTTTTCATTGTCTTCTTTCGCAAACTACATTTGTAAAGATGATATCATGCTACTAAAATCTGTAAAATATTGTTAAAGTAAGTCAAGAATCAATATCTGTATGCTCATCACCAGAATCGATGAATCTCTCATATCTCTGATAATGTGAATCATGTAAATCCATATCACATTCATATTGTTCTTTAAGCCCAAATAATAATTCCCTAAATTCATTTTGACACCATAGGTTTCTATCGTGGTGAAGCATGTGCAATTCATCAGTTCTATAGTATAAGTGAAAATGATCTCGAATTATGTGCAAATTGATCTTAATATTATGCATTTTCAACACATCCATCAATGTTTTGTAACAACTATAACATAAAATCAAATTCAATTGTTTTATCTTATATAAAATTCACCCAAACACAATAATATGTTCGATAATATTCTAGAGTCCAATCATATTGACATAAAATTGCATTTCTTACACGACTTGTGGCTATTTCTCTGACATACAAAATATTTTCTAATGAAACCAATTCATGTGATTCATCATTTTTAGCATTCTCGATAATATAATTCCAACGATATTTGCTATATTTTTTGATTATTTCCTGGACTAATAGGTTTGGTAGCAGATGGTGTGAGATAGAATAATTCAAAAAAGATGTTATATTTTGAATTCTTTCGCAGATGACTTTGATGCTTAAATCTTCCAATCGTGAAGATGATGACATGATCTAAAACAGAGAAGTGTAAGTGTAAGTGTATGAGTTTTTTTCTTTATAAATGTTTGATGAGTTGATTTACATGAAAAAATTACTCTTTTGCCTGTGTATGACCCCATGGCAATGTGTCAAACGAACCTGGAATCAAATACCGTTTATCATCTTTGGGACTCAGAGCAATTTTTGATTGTTGAATGCTAAACACATTGTGGGCATATGAACGGATAGTACGTTGAGACACTGTTTGTGCTCCGAAATTCTTCAAACAATTCAAATAATCTTCGAACCCAATTTTATTCTTGACAACATTAGTTTTCACCCCTTTCGATTTTTTGACAACCTTACCCCCTTGTACTTTATATGCATACATTTTCGAACGTAGTCCTACGAAATTAGTAACGATTTTCCCATTTGCTCCATCTTTTAATAAACCCAACTTTTTTTAATTGACTAGTGGCATATTATATTCATTATCTGGAGCATATTCAGATGTGTCAAATTGAGAGAGATCAGCCTTTATAACTTCTTCATATGCATCATCACATTTCAATTCATATATGAAGCTGTCTGTATCCATATATAACAATTTACACCTTTCAATACCCATTTTCGGAATCATATACTCATAGTGAAATTTGTACATACACAATTTTGATAAATCTAAAATGGCCATTCCTACGTATAGAAGTTTATTAAAAATTATTTCGGTTTTCTGCATTTCTATGGCAATCAAGTTTTCTTCAAAAATTGTTCTACCACGGAATCGTGGACTAGCTATGAGATTTCTGGCTCCATAACGTCCCTGCCATGACCTTACTAGTTTCACTAATCTATGCTTTCGTATGTTTTCCATCGTCTCACCGAAAACTGCATTATTCATTAGTTTAAAGAGATTTTTCTCGAATTCATTTGTTGCGGCAAAGAAGTATTCAGATCTATATATGATTTGAGCCAAAAAGATTGCCTGAATTTCAAAATTTTGTGGATTTTCGTCAGTTTCAGTCCGTTTGCTAAACATTGTTTTGAATTTCTATAGTGTAAAATATAATCTTTTTTGTCGTAAAGTGTTGTCATTAATTTTGGTAATTTTGAGCCGGGTGGTATGCGATGTTCAGCAGCAAATGGAAAGTCTTTGTGATTGTTATGTAAGTCGCGAGGATATTCTAAGTCTACTTGTAAAATATATCCTTCAAGAGCAACATCAGCAATATTCATTACGTTGAAATGTTCAACGTTTTCCATCCATGAGAAATCTCCGAATGGTAAAGACTCTGACATTGCCCAACCGTACAAATTATTTACATCTAAATACATGAGATATTTTGAAGGTTTATTGGAATCATATTCAGACATTTACTTGTTATTAGCTTCTGAATACCTACCACTACAAACAGAAATACCGCCACGTGATGCCTTCTCGATGAACATGATTTTATCAACGTCATTCAATAATTCCAGTTTGCATTTGGTGTACTTTAACATGGCATCCCATGTATATCCAGGCATGGTATAGTACCATGCTGGATCTAACCCATAAGTTGTCCTACATTTCTGCCGGAATTTCTCGAAAACAGCGGTCAACAACATAACGTCTGTTTTTAAATATAAGTCAGAATATTCCCCTTAATTTTGAATTTTGAATGACGACCATACCTTTTGAGCATGGGCGTACTGCTCATCGCTAATGTGTTCATCATTCAATTTATTATAAAAATATTTCTTTGTAGGTAATTCAGTATCATTCAATTTTTCCAAACAACTAATGTAATCGTAAAGAAAGACACCCTTCTTGGTGAGAAGGTTGAATGTATCATCGTTTAAATGACTGAATTCTTTTTTCAAAATTTCAAAATCTTTTCTATCCATGATTGAAGATAATTTATCTAAGGATGTACCCATGAAGCGAAAAGAGTCAATATATCGGAATTTGATGTCTGTATTGTCATCATGTAAAGTGAAAGATATGTACTTTTCCATGTTTATTGGAAGTATGCTCATACGGCCCTTTTTACTCAATTGACTGATCATGAAATGTGAATCATATCCTATCAGGTTGTGAAATGCAATTGGAACAACAAAGAGTTTCTTGAAATTTTTGTTACAGGGTGCTCGATGCGCCCACCCCCTGAACTCGCCTGAAAAGTGATTATGATCAGCTACGATAATGTCTTTCTCCCTGAATGGTTTCTCACAAATATGACAGATTTTTGCTTTGCATTTGTCAGGACTAACAGTCATTAGCACGATTGTTTTGATTTTAGATTGCACGATTTCAGCTATCTTCGACATTTCATTCGCAAACCAATCCATACAATCTTCATCCCTATGGCTATTGAAAAACGACAAGGAATCATCGAAATCACATTTATAATTTATTTTTTGTAAGTCTGGCTGGCACCACAGTATAATATGATTTTTCCTTGACTAAATTCAACTCTAATGTGTATACATTCACGGAAATGTTATTGTCTTTTTCAAATTTTGGAATTTGACGTAGAGACATGGGTGCATCTAAATCTACTGTTTTCAGAACTGTAGTGTAATATGGATATGAAGAAGTCCGTTCCCTATTTGTTTTCGCTGGGTAGAAGGCACTTATGATTGACCAATAGGAACATGCCGAGTCAGTATTTTTTATATTCAAACATGCTTGCTTTTTAGAAATTTGTTCTGGCAGTCTAATAAAGGATGAACCATTTCCCATTTCAAGTTTGTTAATATTAACTTCCATTGATATTATTTTATGCAAAGCCCACCCAGAGTCACGTTCTTGAAATTCGCTTAATTTATTCAAAATTTTGTCCTGAACATTATCATAGTACCAATGTTGTGAATCCGTTCCTACATCCACAATGGCATTTTTAGTGTTGAAATATTTCAATTCGATAATTTCTGCATCGTCTGATTTCTTTATGAATTCTCCACAGAAATTAGCGTTCACTTTAATAATTGGAAATTCCTTCAATATATTTTTGATTTTATTTTTGAATGAAATGAATGCATCTATAAAAAATTGCTCCAAGTCCTTATGTGTTATATTGATGATTATTCCCGTTCTGATTCTACTTGAAAAACCTGATGCCACATCTCTCCATTGAACCCTATTTTTCAACTCAAGCCCTCTACTGTCTCGATGTCTATTTCGAATTGAATTGCGAAAATGCTTAAAATGGCCAACATTCGTTTGAAACTTTCTCATCAAGCCTATGGACATCTTATTCTTATTAATTTCATTGTTACATAATCTTATGTACCTCTTTAAGCGATTTAACCAAATTTTTTCATCCCTATCAGTGAAATTATCAAACAAAATTTTTTTTAGTTTCCTAATGGCTATCACTAAGTTATCTGATTGTTTAGCAATATTCATCTTTACAAATGTCTCTTGTGAAAAGTGACAAAGTAAAATGACTCACACTCTGATTCTCAATAGCTTATGATGTTGGTGATTGAGGTGCTGTTTCCACAATTTCAAACTGCTCGATGGGATGGAGTTGGCCGCAGTTTTTTCGTCCCTTGTAGATGAGGGCGTACTCGTTTTGGATAAACTGCTCCACCGCAGGTTTGATGGCTTGGGTCGCTCTGCCTGGTAGAAACACCTTACAATCGTCCAACTCAACGAGTGGTGCTTCTCCGTATTTTCCCAGTTTAATTTGCACTCCGACAATGGGGTGTGGCACACTAGGGGCAGTTGGCTCAGTTTCCTCAACACTTTCCTGTTGCATGACAGCCCAACATCATTGATTGCATTCAGATCCATCTAAAAAGAAAAGATTGTGGAACTGGTCTTTTCATTTTAAATGATTGAATTATGATGTGTACACGAAAAAATGAATCGATGAAAACGCGCAATGGCATTCACTTTTCAATATGAAAAAAACATTGAACTGAATTATGAAATGTACACAAAAAAAAATGAAAATATCAAGCAATAGTATTCGCTTTTAGAAATGAAAACCAAAAAAGTGAATTACGGAAATTGCATCAAACATCAGGATCAGGCTTTAGTGAATATTAAGAAAAAAACTTACTTTCTTAGATATTGACAGTTTTGGCACTACACAAGATTGCTATCAGATGTGACTAGGTGTTGATTTTATGTGGCTGTCTAACTGTAATGTGATACCTAAAAACCAGAAATCAAACAACATCAGTGAAAATCTCTTCATTTCAAATGTTTGAAATAGAATGAGTGAATTATGATGTGTACACGAAGAAATGAATCGATGAAAACACACAATGACATTCACTTTTCAATATGAAAAACATCGAAATGAATTATGATATGTACACCAACAATGAAATAATTATTAAAGAAAACATATCATGCAATAGTATTCGCTCTTAGAAATAAAAACAAAAAAATTACTTAAAGAAATTGCATTAACAGGTGAATATAAAGAAAAAAAACTCACTTTTATTAGGTATCAGCAGTTGGCACTACACAAGATTGCTATTAGATGTGGCTAGGTGTTGATTTATGTGAATGTCGAACGTTGACTGAATTTTGTCAGAGCGCTCCGCTGTTATATATCAAGGTGGTAGAATGAAAACATAATGTTTCTCACATAATATGTTGTCTTCTGATAAGAGATTGTTTTTTTCCCATTTCTTGTAAAATTTGTTTTTTCTTTCAAATGATAAACTTGTTTTTCTATTATAATATCTTCTTATCAGTAATTTCCTGTTATTTGATTCAATTCAACTTCAATACTTATTCATATTCCCGTTCAACGCTGGGAAAAAAAATCGAAACTAGCTCTTACCTTGTTTTTTCCATTTCTTGTAAAATTTGTTTGTTTTCTTCCAACTGATAAACTTGTTATTCTATTGTAACATCTTCTTATCACTAATTTCCTGTTATTTGATCATATTCAACTTCAATACTTATTCATATTTTCTTTTGACGCTGGGAAAAAAATCGAAATGTCATATCCAAAGAGACTATTTCATATGATATTTCCAACGCATTTAGAGCGATATCTTGTAAACCTTGAGACTTTGCATATAGGCAAGTTGCCATTTTTGGAATGTTCGCGAAAAATCCTTCTCTCAGAGTACCCACACTCCCCAATCCTTCAATATTTATCCCTAAAGTGGGGTGGTCTAACCGTGGGACACCCTGTATATATAATTTTTAATTTTTATTCAACTCAAACACCCTGTCACTGATGATGTCACGCCATCGCGCTCTCGCTACCCCGCTTCCCCGCTAGAACACAGGCCGCGTTCCAGTTGAGATTAAAGCATGTATTTCCCTATGCTGATAGTCGTGCTCTCTTAGTTTTAACTACTACTATCAAGGAAAGAAGAAAAACTCTCTAAGGATTTCTGGGATACCCGAGAGCGAAAATGAAAAATTGCTAGAAACAATATTGAACCTCTTCTGTACTACAATGAAGGTTAGATGTGTATCCACCGAAATTAACAATATCTACAGAATTGGCAAAAAAGAAGGCGTATCATCTAATGGCAAACCAAGGTGTGTTATTGTCGATCTAGTTACTTATCTGAAGAGAGCGGAAATATTAAATTCCAAGAAGCTGCCGAAAGGTACCGGAATATTTCTTAATGAGGACCTCACAAAAAATCGCTACAAGCTACTTAGTTTGGCGAGGCAAAAGCATGGAATCCATAATGCCTGGTCCCGAGATGGCAGAATATTTGTGAAAGATGGTGATGTAAAAATTATTAATGTAATTGATGACGTGTGATTCCAAGTTCTTCAGTCAATTCTGAGGCCTGGCAACACGGCCCTATTTAGATTCATGAACGCTGTATCTGCTTAGTATCGATGGAAGTTTCTTTATTGTTTTTTTTTTACTGCTGATACTTGTTTCTTGTGATTACAACTTTTTTGCAGTTCTTATATCAATCCATTTATTATTGGGTTATCGAATTTGTTATCTCAATCTCTTTTTTCGTTGGGTTAGATATTTTCGAGAACAATATATTTAATATTGTATGTCATTAAACAAGCATACTTTTTATAGCATAGAATAGAATAGAATAGAAGTTTATTGACTATTTTATGTACATACAAAGCACATTTATAGCAGGTCAAAAACATTTATACATGTAAATTTGTAAATAAACAGACAATTTTTATTAAGATACATACTCATAAAATCACTGTGTGAACTGTGTGATGATCATTATTTGTTTCGTTTTTCAGAAATCGGCACTCAGATATTCCTCAACGGAGTAGAAACTGTTGCTAACTAAAATGTGTTTTATGGTTTTTTTAAATAGCTCAAATTTCATTTGTTTGATATTATCTGGCATCTTATTGAAAAGTTGAAGATTGCGAGAGTTCCGTGCAGATACTTCTAGACGGTATCGGGGATTTAATAAAAGATTATTATTTCTTGTATTGTACTGGTGTATGTCATTATGAGCAGTATAAATTGTCTTATCAAAGTATATACTATTATTAGCATTGGTTTCTTGTTCTCGGTACTTTTTCTATCGTTCATTTTCTTTTATTTCACTGTTTCATATATAGAGCTCGTATCTAGATGTACACATATGAAAATATCTGCATATTACCAAAATTCGAGGAGGTTACGTACAAAGACGACAGAATTTTATCAAAATCTCAATTTAGAATCATACGACATTATATGTTTAACGGAAACTTGGCTGAATAATGATTTCCATGATTCTGAGCTTTTTACTGATAATTTTGTGGTGTACAGAAATGACAGGAACCTTGAGCGAACTGCAAAAAAATGGGGTGGAGGTGTTCTGATAGCTATAAGAAAACAATTCAAATCTAAATTAATCGCTCTAGAAACTGAACTCGAAACTATCTTCGTCGAAATAGATATATTTGGAAATAAATTCATCATTGCTAATGTTTACTTCCCACCTTTATCAAAATCAGCTGATTACATAAACTTTGTCGAACTTTTCTCTAATTTGGACGGAGTTATTTCTAACAATACTTCGCTTGTAGTCTTAGGTGATTTTAATATTCCTTGCATAAATGGATCTGATTACCACTTTAATAAAAGCAACTCAAATAATATAGAAATACTTTCCGAACTGATGAACACTTATAATCTTACCTCCTTCAATAATATCCTCAACGAGGATATGAGGACTCTCGACTTGATTCTGAGCAATAGAAATATACTAGTTACCAAAAATATTCACCACCTGACAGTAGAAGATAGGAAACATCCAGTATTAGCTCTGGAATTCGATGTAATTAAAAAAACGTATAATTTTCAAGAACCTAAAAACATTTCCTCCAAATATAATTTCAAAAAATCAAATTTCGATCTTCTTTGTGAACTATCAAGAGACTGTAACTGGGAACATCTTGCGCCAATACAGGATGTTAACGTGGCAGTGGACTTCTTTTATTACAAAATATACGAAATCTTCGACCGTTGCGTTCCTAAATACCAAAATAATTATCAGGGCCATAATAATTTTCCTGCTTGGTTTACGCCTGGCATCATCCGTATGTTACGAGAAAAAGAATTTCATAGAAAACTCAAAAATACGTCGGAATATCACCTGATTGAATATAAGAAATTGCGATCCAACTTGAAACAGGAAATTAAACGGGAACACAATTCATACATACATAATATTGAAAATAATATACAAATAGATCCGCATTCTTTTTGGAATATGATTAACAAGACCAAGCAATCAAACTCTGAAAACACATACTTCTTAGGCCAGGACAAAACGTTGATCAAAGACGCGAATGATATTACTAATGGTTTTGCAGACTATTTTAAGTCAGTGTATGAACAAAACTCCTCAACATACGACTTCAATCATATTAAAGCAACATGCCTCAACCATTGTGTTGACGTTCCACACCTGAATTTCAATAAAATTACAATAGACGATATTTTGAATGCTTTCAAGAAACTAAAACCTAAATACTCTGCAGGTCCGGATGAGATTCCAGGATATATCTTTAAAGCTTGCCGTGATTACTTAATATATCCCCTGCTAGTTATTTTTCAAAAATCCCTAGATTTCAACATTTTTCCGAATTCTTCCAGAATTACGAAAGTAACACCAATACATAAAGAAGGCTCAAAAAATGAATTCAATAATTACAGGCCCATAGCAATTTTGAACTGCATCGCGAAAATTTATGAGTTTATATTGTACGACAAACTTTATTCACTTGTACGACAAATGATATGTATACAGCAACATGGGTTCTGCACAAAAAAATCTATTGAAACAAATTTAATGTATTTTACAAACTATATTCAAGCTGTCTTAGATAAAAAGGCCCAGGTGGACGTGGTATATACTGACTTCGCCAAGGCATTTGACAAAGTCAATCATGACATATTGTTGAAAAAAATAATTTCCTTTGGAGTGAGTGATGCATTGCTTGAATTGTTTCTAACGTACTCACAGGATAGATGGCAATATGTTACCTTTGAGGGAGTACGATCTCAATCATATATGGCGGAGTCAGGTATACCCCAAGGTTCAAATTTGGGACCACTTCTCTTTCTATTATTCGTAAATGACTTAGCTTCCACTATTTCGTCACAGTGTTTACTCTTCGCAGATGACCTCAAAATTTTCACGAAAATTGATGATCTCAATGATTATTTTCAATTACAGAACTATATAGATAGAATACAGGATTGGTCCATGCGTAATAAATTATACTTCAATATTGATAAATGTTTCATCATGACATATAGTCAACATAAGAATCCAAGCCATTACATATACACCATGGGAAATACAGCTTTGGAAAGAGTGAATGAAGTGGTTGATCTGGGTATAATATTTTCTACCAATCTAAGCTTTCAATCCCACATCCGAAATGCTCTCTCCCGAGCATACAAATCAGTTGGTTTTATAAAACGCTCAACTCTTAACTTCAGCTCTGTTGAATCTATTATATATCTCTATAATGCTCTGGTTAGAAGCAAACTCGAATTCGGATGTTTGATTTGGAATAACTATCTCAACAAAGGAAATGTCAAACAAATAGAGACACTTCAAAATAAATTTCTCAAGTATATATATTACAAAAAATACAAGGCCAGCCCTGGATTTATTTCATATCATCCGTTAAGGCTTGAACTGAAAATCACAAAATTAGAGTACAGGAGAATCCACCGCGGTCTTCTTTTCCTCTATAAATTGATGAATAATCTTGTAGACTCACCTGAACTCCTACATCAGGTAAATTTATATGTACCCAATTATCGGACGCGTCCCAGACTCCTTACATTTCTGATCAACACCACAAATGCTCTAGATTCCATTTGCCGATTATACAATCAATACATTCTCGAATATGATCTAGATCTATTCATGTCAAGTTTTCGATCATTCAGAAGAGCCGTTATTAAAATTAAAACCGAACAATAATATTGTCTTTGTACCAAACCCCTCTCAATCCATTAGTACCTAATAGTGTTATGTTGTATTCTGATTCAAATATGTAAGAAGCAGAAACATGTGATTAGGGTAACCTGTATGTTTCTGATAAATAAATGAAATGTTTGAATCGACCTAGGATCAAATAATACATAGGTCGATTCTAGTATCATTGATCTCTGAATCGACCTAGGATCAAATAACACATAGGTCGATTCTAGTATCAATAATACATAGGTCGATCCTAGTATCATTGATCTCTGAATCGACCTAGGATCAAATAACATATAGGTCGATTCTAGTATCATTGATCTCAGAATCGACCTATGTGTTATTTGATCCTAGGTCGATTCTAGTATCTTGATATTAGAATCGACCTTGTATATCTACTCTTGACTTCGACTATGTTCACATCGTAACTCTGCAGTATAACATCTGACATGCATACAGTTGAAGCAAATACGATGGCAGTGACCGTATAAAACGACTTTGAAGGGTATATAACGGGTACAATAGGCACATAGGGATACATCGACTCCATCGTCGTACACACTATATAACTCTATCTCATCACCTCACATGAACACTAATGAAGCAGACGAGTACGCATTGACCATATGAGACGACTTCCAATCGAGTATAACTTGCACAGCTTGCAGAACAAGAATCTTCGACTTTGACTATGATTACACTGTAACTCTGCAGTCCAGCATCTGGGATGCATACAGTTGAAGCAGATACGATGGCAGTGTCTATATGAGACGACTTTGAAAGGTATATAACGAGTTGAATAGGCAACTGAATTTACATCGACTTCATCGGTGTGCACACTCTATCGCTCTATCCTATCATCTCCAAGGATACTTTTGGGGCGAACGAGTTCGCAATGCCCATATGAGACGACTACCAAGCACACCATGTTTGCACTGTAACTCTGCAGTATAACTTCTGACATGCATACAGTTGAAGCAGATACGATGGCAGTGACCGTATAATACAACTTCGAAGAGTATTTTTACGGGTACAATAGGCACATGGGGATACATCGACTTCATCGTCGTACACTATATATACCTTTATCCCATCACCTCACATGAACACTATTGAAGCAGACAGATTCGCATTGACTATATGAGACGACTTCTAAGCGGGTATAACGCACACAGATTGCAGAACAAGAAACTCCGACTTTGACTTCGTTTACACTGTGACTCTGCAGTCCAGCATCTGACATGCATACAGTTGAAGCAGATACGATGGCAGTGACTATATAAGACGACTTCAAAGGGTATATAACGAGTACAATAGGTGAATGGGCATACATCGACTT